CCTCAGAGGGTTCGCTGTTACCGTCAGCGCCTGCCCGGAAGGACGTCCACGTGACGTCCCTAGCGGGGCCGATCAGAGGAGCTTCCTCAAGCTCCGAATCCGGACCTTCTTTCTCCAACTGCTCAACACCAACATCGTCGAATCTGTATTTCGTCGTGCGACCGTCGTTGTGCCCAACACGATATGCCGATGTTTTTGGCCCCCATCGCAAGCCACCGGCATGCCTCAGACGGCAATGCCAGGCGAGACTCGAACGCCATTCGACCGCAGCGGCACAGCGCCGTATTTTTAGCTCAGCTGGCCCCCAAATCCTGACCGGTCGATTGTTGTGATGGCATTGCTGCAGCCTGTAAAACAATGCATTCTCTATTATTACGCTCAACATTCTGAGCTCCTTCGTCGCTACTGACGCCTTTGCGCAACACCGTCTTTCTGATATCGAATAGGCTATCGGCCTTCAATCTGGAGTTACGCGGGTCGATCAGCACAGGGCTGAGCGGCTCGTCAAGCCCCGCGACGCCAGCGCAAATCAAAGGCACGGCGAGCTTGATTCCACGACAGCCGTTCGCTTCGCCTGGACTGCACATGGTGTGCCGCACTAGAGCAGCTTTTCCTGCCTGAGTAGGGCGAAAGCATCCGTGGGCGCATATTGGTGTGATGGAACCAGGCTGACCGGTGCAACGCATATGCTGCAAGGTACCGCCAGCCTCGTGCAACATCTTGTACGCTTTGGTGATTTCCCGCCTTTTTTTGTGGCTTCTCTCTTTCCTTTCACTTCGTTCGCTTTCGTCCTACGGTCGCTACACATTGCAAACATCATTGTACAGTACAAGAACGTGAGCGCAAGCCGGGCATACACGAAACAGAATGCGGTCACCATCCGTCGAAGGAGTACCATCACCCCTCCAGGTTGGCTCCCCAAACAGTAGGAGGACCTCCGATATCACCGTTCCTTCTGCTTTGCGCGTTGGCTCTCCAACAACTGGCGATGCCCCACCCATCCACGCTCGGCCACCGCTGCGTCGCAAGAACACGTCTGGCGCCTCCGACAGGCTGTCGCAACTCTTTCCGTCCCGACCGTCCTCAGTCGCCTCAATCGCATCTCCTAGCAGCACCCCTGCATCAAGACGTCGGTCGTTTCCTTCGCCTCTGCTACCGGCCGCAGAACCCTCGTATCGCATACCACGCGCTCCAGCGCTGCCCTCGTTTGCCCAAGAAACGTCATACAACCCTGTCGCGAGCGTGTTTACTCAAGATCGCGCATCACCGTCGTTGGGCAAGAGCGACAGTAGGACCAAACGGGTCCTCGACCGAATCGCATCGTTGCACAGGGGAGCCTCTCATGGGGGACGTTACAACCGACTGGATGATGAGGAATCACAACCCGACAGAAGACGCCTTGTAGGAGTCGACGAGGGGGATGAAGCAGTCGGATATGATCTGAGCTCGCTAGGCGGTCTGCCGCTGAAAACACTCGAGGCGCAATCGCGGACACAGGACATACACGAAGGGCAAGAGCGTGACAGAGACATGGATGAAGCTAGTCACGCCGCAGAATTTGAGCGTCTTGAAGCGCAACTCGGAGCTGGCATGACTTCTGTGCTCCATGTTCCGTTTGAGCATACCCCAGCGGGACCAGTACCAGGCTTCTTTCCAGGCCACCGACGAATTCTGACAAGAGCGGATGTAGTAGACGAGCAGGCCAAAAAAGCGCAAGACGAGGCTGAAAATACCGGCAAGGTCGTTGCTGTTGCAGCAGATGTTCCAGTCGATATCAGCGAATTCACAGGAGTTGCTCGCGACTTCGATTCTATGAGAAACTTGACCGCCGAGGCCGGTCTCATCAGCAGTGGTGCACAGACTAGCTACTTCTTTCCTGAAGGCAAGTTTCCCCTACATGTGTCGAGAGTTAGGATCTAACACGCATGCAGATCCCCAGATGCCTGCATGGCGACCCCTTACTATGAGCTCGTGGTGGATCCTTATGCTCACAGTTCTTGCACTTGTACTCGCTGGCGTTCAAGAATACCTATGCCAAATTTCCTTACGCGATGTTGAAGCAGATCCTCAGAAAGGCGGGTTGTGGCATTTCGTGAAAGTTGGCGACTTGACTGTCACGCAATATTTCACCTGGCAGTACGCGCCCATCATCATTTCAGTCTTTTACGGCGTCCTTTGGCAAATGTCGGATTTCGAGGTGAAACGTTTGGAGCCCTTCTACCAGCTATCCAAGAAGACAGGCGCAACTGCGGGAGAATCGCTTAACATGGACTATCTCACCTTTTTGAGCTTCTTAGTACCGCTAAGAGCACTGCGTCACAGACAGTACGCCGTCATTTACAGCTCGCTGGGTACATTGGTCGCTAGTAGCCTTGTACCTGTCTTGCAGAGTGCCTCTATGACTATGTGGCCACCAGAAAAGGACCGTAAACTTAATGGCTGGAAGGCTGTGAGAGTCGAACCGGCCTGGTCCCGAGCGCTCTCGGCGTGCCTTTTGATAGTTGCAGCCTGTGGAGGAGCGCTGATGTACGCAATGCAGAGGAAGAGCGGCCTGCAGTCGGACCCCAAGGGCATTGCAGGTATCGCAGCTATGGCTACGAAAAGCCATATTCTGACGGACTTCAAGGGGCTCGACCAGGCTTCTTTGCCTCAGATACACAAGCAACTTCGCCAACGAAGATACATCTTGCACAAAAGCTCACTCTGGCAAGGAGAATACATAACGAAGAGCAAGGAAAAGATTCCCGAGCACGGCTCCGATCCCAGGCCGCTCATGCTTCGTCTTTGGGCGGGTGTGCCTTTCATCGGCTTTCTCATCCTGTTCACCGTTGCGGTGCCAGTCTTCACATTCGTCAAGGCGATGAGTAGAGCCACACAGAAGGTACCCTGGATGATGACGGGCCTAGCAACTGTCATCCGCATACTCTGGAACACCATGAATAGCGACGTTCGCATGCTTCAACCTTTCTACATCCTTTCTCTGCGACACGCCCCAGCCAAGACTCTTACACTCGACTATGCTGGTACGAATCCTCTTTGGTTGCCCTTCGAAGCTTTCTTCAATGGGCATTACCTTGTCATGCTCGTCGCCTTTGGATCCATCTTTGCGGAGATCCTAACGGTCTGCGTGACCTCAATCAGCGTCGATGGCAACAAATTTATGCCTGGATTCGGCGGCCAAAAGTCTGACGACGACCACGACGGCAGCAACGACGATGCATCTGATCGTTATAACACGGAGCAAACCTTTCGCAGTTTCTGGTCGAGCTTAACGCTCACCATGCTCATTCTGATCTATCTCATCGGCATCGCTCTTCTCACCTACGCGAGGCGCAGTCAGAAGTTCATGCCCAGAGAAATCGGCACCATGGCCTCCGTCCTCGCTTTCATCCACCAGTCCAAGATGCTCTTCAGCTTCATCGACACGGAGAAGCTGAACTCAAGGGAGATGACGAAACACCTAGAGAAGAGTGGAAAGACGTACGCGTTGGGCTGGTTTCAAGGAAGAGATGGCGAAGATCACTTGGGCATCGACGAAGAAGAGATCAGCAGCGCGTACGTCTTTGGCAAGGATTGGACTGAGGGGCGGCTGAGACCAGGTAGAGATCTGACGTGGGAGGTTTATTAGACGCTTCGTCACACGATATAATGCATCTCCATTTCCATCGACATCAAGAACGCGCATGCAATTACTGACATTGACTCCCCACCCCGTATTCACAACCCTAGCGCCGAGACGCCATTATGCTGGTATAATAATCCGTTCTGACGCGTATGTGCCGCGTCATATGTCCCCGCTCCCGTCTCATCCTCATCCCCATCGCACGTATATCCTCATATCCCCTCCGTCCCCTCCTCTAACTCTGCTCCCCAACATTCCCCACCAGCCAATCCATACCCTCCTGGACACCCCGTCCATCCACCGCACTACAAGCCACAATACTCCAATTCCGGTCTTTGAGCTCCCCCAACTTGAGCGCCTCGCTGATCTCGCCCGCGCCCTTTGCGCCCGGTTGATCTTGTTTGTTTGCGAAGACGAGGAGGGCGGCGTCGCGGAGCTCTTCTTCGTTGAGCATGGCGCGCAGTTCTTCGCTAGCGGTGGTGAGGCGCTCGATATCTGTGCTGTCGATTACGAAGATTACGGCGGCGGTGTTGGCGTAGTAGCAGCGCCAGTAGGGGCGGATGGAGGTTTGGCCGCCGAGGTCCTGGGCAGGTGTTAGATGGTGGTTGTGGATGGGGGAAGGTAGGTGGTTCTGAAGGACGGGGAGGTGGGAGGTGAACTTACCCAGACGTTGAAGTTAAGGTTCTTGTATGTGACGGATTCGACGTTGAAGCCTATTGTTGGTATCGTTGTGACTACCTCGCCAATCTGGAGGGCTTGTTAGCCTCCGTATACCTCGTGTCCAGACCCAGGATGCATATTGTTTCCATATTCGCATGCCTCCTTTCTTTCCTCCTTGGATATCGCGTACCTTTAGTCTGTATAGTAACGTCGTCTTTCCAGCGTTATCCTGCATTTGTAATCAGCACCATGCCCCCCATACAGCCATGCTGAGGTGTTCATACCAGCCCCAGAATCAATATCCGTATCTCCTTCTTTGCCCATATCAGCTTTGTAAATGTCGATAAGTAGCCGCCCATGTTGTTCTCCCTGTGTCTTGTCCGCCCGTTCGTGAGGTCCGTTTGTATGCGGCGTTGACCGCTGGTCTGGTGGTTTCGGCGAAAGGGACGGTTTCGAGAATGTCGGCGATGTGACGGTTCCGTGAAAGTGTTTTAGTTATTACGCGATTATGTTGGAGTGAGCTGGGCGTATGTTGTCATATGTCTTGCTCGTGTTTCAGTGTTGCTGTCTGGGCATAAAGTTAGGCCGTCGGGTGCAAACAGGACAAACAGACCGAGGTCGTCGGCGGCAACTTTGGCCGATCGGCCGGACCACGGGTAGAGCTGATCTAGCCACGGTGCTATGCCTAGCGTTACACTACAACCCCATCATCCACACCATGCCTTACGATCGCCATGTAGTCGTCAGTTGCATCGAGAGGCACTATGACTTGCTCGTGCGCATGGCCTACCTCGACCCGGACACGATCCTCCGCCCGCCGCCTGAAGGTTGGAGTGATGAGCAGCTCGCTGTTGACACATTGCAAGAGTGGAAACGGTCGGACAGAGTCGTTGATCTCTTGCGTCACTTGCCTTATCTGAGCAAGAATATGGGTGACTCTAAATACGAGGTCTACATCGTAACGGAAGCATGCAACTTCCTTCGCGATTATGGCTGGCTGAAAGATGCGCACAAGAAGGACGCTATCAGTCTTATGATGCCATGCGAGGAGGAAGCACCTGCAGGAATGATACCGTTGAGCCAGGGCCGCGAAGCGACAGTGTGGATGATAGATACGGACGAAGGTATGAGCCGCATACAACGTGCATCACCGGATATTGACAGGTTTCACTAGGGATAATCTGGCCCATGACACCGTTCGTTGTAGACCGTAGTGCGCCAGAAGACCAACCTTGGCGGCGATGCGCAAAGCCTCGAGAAATTCAGCAGTACTTCGATAAGGTCTACAACGAGATCGAGACCTTGGTCACCGTTCCTGTACCATTGACGCGAGGTAGCGATGCATGGTACAACGAGATGGTGGATCATCGAGACAACAATGCAAAGGTGAGTGCGATCCTCTCGGCGAACGTGACCGGAAGACTCATCAAGCAAATGAACAGCTACCCAAGCGCTTGCTGAAAGAGTATGGTTGGCCCTCAGCTTTCAGAAAGGCAGAGTATCTCAAAGCTCTCGAACAAGAACGTCTCGACGCTAAACGCAAAGAAGCGGAACGGAAAGAAGAAGCCGTGAGGAAACATGCACAAAGGCGTTTTATAGCAGTTGACAAGGCGTATGATTTGCGTTCCAAGAATGGAAGCGCTGACAGCACAGCAAAGTGACAAGTCTCACGATAGATCACTACGCATTCTCCTATCTTCTTATCTGGGTCGGTCACACGCGTTACCACCGCTTCCGAACGTTCGAGACGAACAAACAGCCTCATGTACGAAGTTATATAGCAAGACAGTAAGCATACTCTGGCCAGATCTGAGTTCCGCAGTTCTCTCCGTCAGAGCCCAGGACCGGGTTTAAGGCATACAGCACTTCAAGGGCAACACCGTTGTCGTTACCGATACTCCAGCAGGTATCACCACTCTTGGTAACCATCCATCTCTTACAGTGTGCGGGGAAGCCTCCCTGAGTCTGTGTAGGGAGCGGGGCAACCACCGTGCTTGTTGCTGGCTGGCTTGTCGTGGGGGTGGCAGTGCCAACACAGTAGTAATATCCGGCCCAAATCTGAGTGGCGCAGTTCTCTCCGTTGGAACCCAACACGGTATTCCATTTGTAGAGCTGTGACAGCTCAATTCCGGCACTGTTGGCAATCTCCCAACAGCTTGCTCCTGTCGCAAACTTGTTGCAATTAGGATCGATACCCGACTGTGTTTGTGTTGGCTTTGTAATCGGCGCTGTCGAACTTGGGCTCGTGCTAGGCTTCGTAGATGTAGGTGATGGCGACGTGCCATCACCACTCGTGGCAACGCAATAGTAGTAGCCGAGCCAGACTTGCGAAGCACATCGCTCGCCAGCACTACCGAGCACCGGATTCAGCTCCCACAATCTCTGTACGCTGATCTTGGCATCGTATGCAAGCTTCCAACATGCGGCCTGGGTGTCATTGGCCATGATCCAGCGGGTACAATCGGATGCTATACCCTCTTGTATGCTATCGGCAGGTATTTCTCCACCGTCTTCGATTATGGGAAGGGATGCCGTACTTCCTGGACCGCCGCGAATTGGTCCCTCGCCATCGTCGGGGATTTCTGAGGCTGGTGGACTGATCCAAGCACCGCCTGGAGGACTAAAGGTATACTTGTCAGCTTCTATTCAATGGATGGGAGACTACATGGCTGACATACGTTAAGCAGATTGCCTGACCAACCAATAGGTGGTCACAAGCACCCATAATGTTGGGGTTCCAGCTTGCGAGCTGAGCGAGCGTGACTTCATTTGTCGTGTTCGAAAGACCTTGAGCAATTGACTCACTAATTCACAGTAGTGAGCAGCTGATACGAGAGAGTGTGTAGCAGAGATACTTACCACGTGTCGTTGGTCAAGACTCGGTACAATGTGCAAGCAAGAGGTATGCACACCTCTCCATCCGCATCGCAGAACTCATTCTTCGTTGCAACAGCCGCTTCCAGCGAGGCGATCTGGTACTTCTCCGCAATCTCATCACAATTGAGCTCCTCTTCACGATCGGGTCGTAGATCCACCATGCGGCCTCTGCATACTGTCGACGTGGGTGTGGGCGCGCTACTAGTAGTCGATACGGTAGTTGACGGGAGTGCCATCTCGGGCTCATCCGTCACGCGCGCATAGGCTGGGCCAATCCTGGTAACGAGATCACTAACAGTAGTCTTGCAAACGTCTTGAACATCTTGAAACTGTTCGACGAGATAGTCGCCAAACTCTGTGTCTTGCAGGTAATCCGATGTTACGCGGGCATGCAACATCTTGAGAAAGCACTCGGAGCACAACAAGTCGTCATCGTATAACGTTGACATTCGGCTCTGGTTTGCGCCAAAGTCGGCGCGATTGAGACACCATGGGTCATTGGGGTTTGCTTCGCAATCCATTTGGATCACATCTGAGCCAGTCCATTCGTAGGACTCGACTAGGCACCACTCATTAGACGATGAGCGCATACAAGCCATATCGAGTCCCTCCAAGATACGACCGCTCAGCGATTCGGCGGGCACGTATCGGTCGCCCGAGCGGTAATAGTCGTCAACACAAGCTGTTGCGACATTCTGCCGCCAGTCTGCTGCATCGGACATACAGCTTGCGGTGCAAAGTGTGGTAACATCGGTTGATTGCCAGTACACTTCGTCGACCTTGTGCGTCCATTGCATCAAGTCGTTATCGCATGGCAGCGTGGTGTTTCTAAAAGGAATCAGTTGATATCCATGAAGCATGCTTCGAAAGAGACGACATACAAGGCGGATACACATCCGGAAGATATCCCTAAGATTTGCGACATGGTCTCTGCCGGAACAAGAGGATAGAGATTGAAGGCTGAGGCCGAAGCCATCAAGCCCACGTTGATCAGCACGCGGCGAACAGAGTTGCGAGAAGACATTGTGGCCTCGAGACCTATCTGCAAAGAAATGCAACCTCAGCAGAAGATCAATGGGAACGCTTTTTTAGAGCGGAGTATCCGGCGATGAAAGAATGCTTGGATTGGGGATCGGTCGAGGCAGCATGACCAGACTCCGCGGATACCCCAGCCAAGCCATCAAAACGCCAGAGATAAATTATTATTAAGGCGATATCAGTAAGCCACTAGCTTCCAGCGCTCCGTCGGAGTTGAATGTTCCTCTGATCTTCACTTCGGCTAGGTTATCACTTAGCAGCCGTGCAGGAATATGGAAGGTGGTCAGCCAGATTCTTGGCATCCTTCGGTACCTTGCATAGCTGGCGGATATGCCGTCAGGAACCCGCTCGCGCGCATTCTGGCGTCTCCATGCAGCCAATCGCAGGCTGTTGCGCATTCAGGCTGGTGCGCGGTTACGCCCGTGGCGAGGCTGGCACGGCTCTTCCGCTCGATTTTGGTCTGATCCATGTTCCGCGCAGCCTTCCCGTCAGGCCACCCACTATGCTACCTTGTCTCACGCTAGCACTTGGGTGTTAACTCGTGCATTAGTATACCGTCGGTTATCCTCTTTTGGAAGGAGCTTCAATTGTAGGATCCTCGATCTTACTTTCCATCTATCAGACTCTACTCTAGTGCTGAGCGACACGGACGGTGGCGCAAGCCCAATCCCTACATCGATAGTGTTGATCTGCTCTGGCAAGAACAGTATCAATGCAGATATGACGGGTATAATCGGTACACCCAGCGTCTGACCATATGGGCCACATTCTCCTCATATTCACATTCCCTACCGCCTTTCGCCATGCTTTGTGAGCAGTGAGAAACCCCTCGACAACTCTCTTTCACGCCTGGCCACTCAAGATGCGGTCTGCACTTCTTCATAACTTAGTTATCGGCCTTTGGCTCACAAGTAGCCTTGTGAGCGGTCAGAATGGATCTTCATTCCAGAACGAGACCTTTGACGGCGAGGTGGAACAATCGTACTTCCTCGTCAATTCGGCGTTCGGAATTTTGAGGAATGAAATCCCGGCTCAAGCTCTGGATCTTCCTACCGGTACTTGCAACGATCAAACGCCATGCGTGAATGGTGCATGCTGCAGCAGTGTAAGTAGCTGGTATCGACTCAAGGATACACATTGACATAAGGTAGGTCTCCGGACTCTGCGGCTACTCTCCTTCGGAGTGCGGTGCTGGAAACTGCTCCTCTAACTGCGATGCCAAAGCAGAATGTGGCCAGTACGGCAGGCCTGGCAAGCAGCAGTGTCCGCTCGGAGTCTGTTGCTCCGAGTTTGGGTACGTGTAATTTCTTCGACAGTTCCTTTATCGCAGCTGACATTGGCATGTAGATTCTGCGGCTCGACATCCTTGTTTTGCGACAAAGGATGCCAGAAAAACTTTGGAGGCTGCGGCGACGTCAAGCGACCATCTTGCAGCAAAGATGGTGGTAGCGTCGAGGGCATAAACATTGGCTACTACGAGTCGTGGGCCAACACCAGGGCATGCAGCAAGGTGTCTCCCGAAGACCTCAATCTTGATGGTTTTACGCATCTCAACTTTGCCTTTGTCTTCTTCCATCCCACCACTTTCGACATTGTCCCAATGGACAAGAACGCGGGCAAGCTGCTGAGTCGCTTCACCAAGTTGAAAGAGAAGAAGCCTGGACTTCAAACTTGGGTCAGCGTGGGTGGATGGTCCTTCAACGATCGTAAGTGATACTTGTTCGAACCCACTAGTATTTACTGACTTTAGTAATCTAGCCGGCCCATACCAACAGGCTTTCAGCAACATGGCCAGTACAGCAGCAAACCGCAAGACCTTCATCAACAAGCTCATCAAGTTTATGGACACATACGGATTCGATGGAGCTGACTTGGACTGGGAGTACCCTACCGCTGGTGAGCCAAGATTTGCATCTCCGTCACTTTCACCCAGTACTGACATTTGGAAGATGATCGCGGAGGCAAGGCCGGCGATTCAGCCAACTTCGTTCTGCTGTCGAAAGACATCAAGGATGCCTTTCGTGGAAAGTACGGCTATACCATAACGCTGCCGGCATCCTATTGGTACCTGCAACACTTCGACGTGTCCAAGCATCAAGAGTCTGTTGATTGGCTCAACGTGATGTCATATGACCTTCACGGTGTCTGGGACGCCGCATCGAAATACACTGGGCCCAAACTCGCAACTCACACCAACATCACTGAGATCAACATGGCCTTGGACCTCCTCTGGCGCGCGGGGGTCAAACCAAACAAAGTTGTCTTGGGAAAAGGCTGTAAGTTTGCTTTTGCTCATATTCTGCGTCTACATCATCTGACTTGTTGGACAGATTACGGCCGCTCGTTTACCCTCACCGATCCGAGCTGCAACAAGCCAGACGGCTCATGCACGTTCTCTGGAGGTGCCAAAGAGGGTCGGTGTTCGAAGGCTTCCGGCATTCTTACTCTACAAGAGATCCAAGAGCTCATCAAGGAGAAGAACCTCAAGCCGGTCCATGATCTGAAAGCCGGAGTCAAATGTACGAGGAAAGAGCAGAAAAAGCTCCACAAACAGTTCGCTAACCATCGCGACAGGGATACAATGGGACAATGATCAATGGGTTTCGTACGACGACCAAGATACTTTTAGGCAGAAGGCAGAATTCGCGAACTCGCGGTGCTTGCGTAAGAAGTCACAAAGATATGTGCAACTTCCATACTAACGATGCGTTTGCAGATGGACTCATGGTTTGGGCTATCGATCAAGTCGACCAGAACGACAAAAGCCTGAATTACCCCGACGAATGGACCGAAGACGACATTGCAGCAGCCGAGATTTTCATCCAAGACGAAGCCGCCCAGGGCGTTTGCTACACGACGCCATGCGGCGAGAAATGCGCGTCAGGAGAATACGAGGCTTCGCAAACGAACGGCCAACCCGGGACGCTTTCAACAATGGACCGTTGTGGCAAAGGACAGTTCCGTCGGCTGTGCTGCGCCAAAGGCACTAATATGGGCAAGTGCCGATGGCGCGGCTACCGTGGTCTTGGCCTGAGCTGCACCGGTGGCTGTGCCAAAGATGAAACGGAGATCACGCAGAACACCAATCACCACTCGAGCACCGAGGATCAGACATGCTCTGGAGGAACACAGAGTTACTGTTGTGCTGGCTTCAAGCCCCCTATTACTAAAGAGCAGGTCGAAGATGAGGTCAAGGACAAGGCCAAAGAGGCCGCTTTGGAAGCAGCCGAAGCGTTAGCCTTGGAGGTCGCTGCCACGGCCTTTTGCAGAATTGCCATCACGGCCGCCTTGACACCGCTTACCTTTATCCCTTTTATTGGTGAGTTGCTCCATTCTTTGACCTGAGCTGTTTTCTAACGTGAGTGATGCAGGATGGATCATACGACTCGCCGTCCAAGCCGCCGTTCCAGCTCTTGCTAAAGTTTGCGCCAAGGGCATTGCGAAAGCAGGCAAATCCGTCTTCAAGTTCCGCGGAAAGGATTACGATGTGAAGCTCGACAAACCGTTGACTTCCAAAAAGGACCGCGATCCACCCGCCACCTTCACGAAACCTGCGGCAAGGTGCTCCAAGGTCGACCCCAAGCTCGCTCCCAAGCTCGCGGAACGTGCCCGCCCGATGAGACCCCGAATCAAGATCGAACCCGTACCAGGAACTCCCGATATTGATGTCAATGTCAAGACTTGTGTCTACAGCAAAGACAACGGGGATATTCATATGGGTCAGGCTTGTCTACACTACAGCTCTGTCATAAGCCGTCGACCTGCTCTCAAAAGGTTGACGTGTGATGGTAAAGACGGCATCAACATTCGCGAGGTACGAAACGCCTATTCCACCGATCACAAGACCGAGTGGATCAACGGTCACATGCAAGGTGGCGTGGTCTGCGAGCGAGACGAATTTCCACCCGCCGTGATTTGGCAAGGTCGTGATAGGAATGTGTGGATTCGTCTCCAGCCCGCTTCTCACAACAACCAGGCCGGGAAGATGTTCATGGGCGTCTGCGACGACAAGGTAGAAACTAGGACGGTAAAGCGCCTGCGTCAAAGAGTCGTGTGTAACAACGGCCAAGTCATCGAGTCTTGGGACCACACGAAGCACCCACAGCTCCAGGTCTTCAGCCTGGAGTTCTCAAACATGCCGGGAAACATTGTCGATGCAGGTATCACGGCCAACCCGTGCTGGCCCAAGGACCTCGTCGACGACCCAGGCTTCGCTCTCATGACTAACGATCCTTGGTACAACCGTGCCGCCAACCGCCCCCGCAAGAGACACACGGCAAACTACGGAAACCCAGACTATGCTGGTCTGGGCTACCCTCCGGGGCCCGCAGCCGTCAAGCTGAAACGAGACCTCGACTTCGGCCCCGAAGACCTCTACGTCGACGAAGGAAACTCGTCTCGCCTACCCACCGAAGAAGAGCTGCGCACCGAATTTGGCCTAGTGCGCTGTCAAGGCGAAGACTGCGAGCCCGAGATGAAGCAGCTTGGTTTCGCTTCTCTGCCCATTATCCCAAACTCGTTTGTCTGGCCACCCAAGTCTCACGAGCCGAGTATGACGCCGGAGGCTACGCCAACGATTACTGTGGCTGCTACTGCGTCTGCGTCTGCGCCGACGACTACGAGCACGGTTGTTCAGGCTGTTACGCAGGTTCTTTCTGCGGCGCGCGAGTTGATTACCGAGTCGGTAGAGTATGCGTTCTATGATGAGGAGGACTAGGAGGAGAGCTCTTAGAAGGGGTGCAAGAGCGTACTTAAGTGGGACAGAATGGTGGAGAAGAATAGTCGCGCTTTACAAGTCGCAGATAGGAATACATATGTATCCGGTGTTAGCTTCTCTTTCTTATAATATGTCAGTTCTCATGTTGGGTATATGCGGACTTCGGAACGTGTGAGTCGCTCGTGTGCGTCGGGTCACCACGGTACCATGGTTATAGTATGTTAGACAGAAAGCTTATATCTTAGTAATTTAACAACGTCGCAACAAAATGATCCTCTATCGATGATTGCGTCCCTCAACCAGACTGCAGATAATAGAAAGAGCGAGGAAAGAGGTTCCTGGGTAGACCTCGTGATCGCAATCTCAGTTCGCTTAGCTCGAGCGCGTCATCTGTGCGCGTACGGAGGTAATGACCGAGAGCACATTTGCGCTGAACATGAATATTGGCAGCAGTTTCATAGGCTACCTTTCCGAAAGACTGAGTGCGATACACGAAGACTACATCCCTTTGGCAACCATGGTCTCGCATGGTGAACCATATGTCAACCTTAGCAAAATAGACTAGTGTACTGCCAGACTGTAGTCATCGTCCGGTAGCAGGAGCCTGAACCAGATAACCATCCTCGCCTTGACTCAATGCTACGCATTGTGAGTCACTGCGTGTCTGGCACTGATATGTTTTGCTCGCTTAAAGTGCCACTTGGATATGTTGGATTATTCTTTGGTCTTGCGACTGGCTGTCTAAGAGGAATAAGGAGACTTACCACTGGTAGAGGTGTAAGGTCACATAGTCAAGGTGAGTCTATCTGCTCATGTTTTGGATGCGCAAACACGGAACGCGCGCGATACCGTTTCTCTTCTACAATGGTCTTCAGATAGTATATAAACTCACATCGCCTGCTCTCCCTTTCCTTCCATTCGACTCCATCCACACATGTCCCAAAACCCAAACACATACTATTCCAAACTCTTCTTGCAACACGCAACCACATTCACAACACAAGCAAGCACAACCCAAAACCACAACATGTCTTGCCAACGCCTATCAACCGTCCACGGACTCGCACCCGAAAAGCTCATCAAACTCGCTTTCAAGTTCCTCCCCTTCCGCACTCTCCAAGCCGTCTTCGCGACGCTTCACCCCGCTCAACATCGCATCTTGATGCAACAACGGCGCCGCGGCGTGAGTCTGCACCATCTAGCAGACACACTATACTACCACCAAGGCGCCACACTGTCGCGCCTATCGCGCTGGAACGAAATGACGAAGCTGCAAATGCAGCATGAACTCCTCAAACGAGAACACCTCGACGAGGGAGAGGAAAAGAGCTTGAGTGAATGGGGACTGAGGATCAGATTGGTGTGCGTCATGGCTGAGGAGAGGAAGGCCTGGAAGGAGGGGAAGGAGCAGAGGAGGGTGGAGGAGGAGGAAGACAGGAGGGCATGTATCGCGCAGTGTAGGGCGTATGAGGAGGAAGATGAAGGTGAAGCTATGGATATTGCCGTCGCCGCTTCGCAGGAAGGAGGTCAGGTGGTATGCTGAGGTGGTGAAAGGTCAGGGGTCATCACAAAAAGCTCATTGGTGTTGGTGTAGTCGTTCCACAATTTCGCCGACGAAGTCGTCTTCACTCAACCAATGTTACTACCTGACCTCTTACAGTGCCGTTGATGACCATAATACTGCCCACGCTGTGAAATTAATCTCCTCACTTTCCCTTCTCCCGTGCTCTGCCGCACTCTCCGAACGTGGTACATTCACTTTCACTTCCAGAGACTTGGTCTCACATCACCTGCACCCACTAACCTGAGTGATAGCTCTCTCTAATGAATGCAGGCCCTTCATTCTTCGCTGCCCACTTGCCTCCCCTTTTCAACTGACCGCTTCTGAACCTCTTGGATTACTTTCAACGACCCAGTCGCCGTCACAACACACGCTCCTCCTTCTCAGCTAACCTTTCACAATAGCAAGATGTTTACATCGCTCATCGCAGAGATCAACGGCGGAGAACCCTCCACCAAGAAGAGTACAACCCAGCTCAAGTCAGAGACTGCGCGAAAGCGTACCGTCGCGGGGACTACATCAACTTCGGCGCCATCACTTCGACAACGCGCGGTTCCTCGTCGCCCGCAACAGCGTCAAGCCATCGACCGGTACACGGCTGTAGCGCACAACCCATGGAGGGAGCCAAAGCGCCTAGCAAAATACTCATACGAGCTAATGAAGCAACAAGAGCTTCTCGAGGAAGCGCACATCCGAGGGCTTGAGATCGACAACGGGGATAAAACATACCTCGTAAACATCTTGATCATCGACGACGAGGCCTACGCCAAACTAATGGAGGTACTCGGTTGCCGCTTCAAAGCCGCCGACTTTGCGCAGGGCGAAGTGAGGCTCTACAACCACGAGATGAAGCGCCAACGAGCTGAAGCAGAGGCGAAGCAGCAACAATCGGTCCGTGAGATGCATAAGAATGCAAAACGAGATGCGCGCGTCAAGGCCGAGAAGCTGGTATGCGAGAAGAAGCAGGCTGAGAATAAGGCTGCTAAAGCCAAAGAGCAAGAGCACCGGAAGCGAAAGAGAAGCGGCAACCGCGATTCTGGTTGCTCTTCTGCCCCCAAGAAGGCCAAGTTCAAGCATGCACCGGCGGTGTCTTCGCGCTCAAGAAAGACCGGCGCCAGCAAGGCATCATCAGGCGATAGGAAGTTTGTCAAGATGAGTGTTGCCAACGACATGAAGGATGCGCACGACGATGACGACGATGAAGATGGACTTGGCGACTTCATCGTTGATGACCTGCCGCAGAAGCCGAAGCGCAAGAGCGATGTAGGCGGCATGGCAAGGAGCAGGTTGATTGCTGGGTTTTGATGGATGGAATATCTTTCTTTTTCTTGCTGTCATTGTTGTTCTCCTTCTAGTATAAGACAAGAATGTATCGTAGTTCCTTATGTATAGCATTGTTGCGGGGAAACCTTCATGTTGTAGTACTATTGCGCCGTCGGAGTATCCGTTAGCGCAGAATTGAGTCGGCCCCAGCGCTTACGGGCACTGCTCTCCGCCGGCGTAGCGCAATTGATTGCAAATTGTTAACTTCATTGCGACATGGATTTACTGCCACACAATGTTCGTTTAGACGGGTAAGGCATGCCGAGCTCTGTCGATCGCGTCGTTTTAACCACACTCTCGGCTAGTGCGTCATTCCCATAGGGTGCCTAACCGCGCCACGTATATATAGATGTATTCTCGCAAGTCTAAACAGTCGAACGTCCACGGCTTTACCCTTATGCTACGTCAATATGTGGACATATGACAATCCAAAGTTGCTGCTCCTTACGATATCAGGACTCCTCACCACAGCGGTCGTCAATGCGCAAAACTCCTCCTGTCGAGGCTTTTTCGACGAATTCACGGCCGTGAACTCAACCGGCCAGCACGAATTTACTTGGAACTCCTCCTACGCCGGCGATGACCCGTGGTATGTCTCTGTCCTCGTCGGATCTCGCTATGACGATCTCAGAGGACATGTTTACATCTCCGTACCTGGAAACGTGCCCAACAATACCGAGCTCTGCAAGTATCAGTGGAGCAACATCAATGCGACGTTAGAAGCCGGAGGGGAGAATAGCTGTAGCGGTGTGATCAGCTCCGACTGCATGGACCACCTGAACAAGGCACTTAGTGATACCTCGAGTTACTGTCCTAGTAAAGATACTTCGTCCGTATCAGATGAGTTCAAGAAGGCGTGTCCAATGTTGAGTGGCGGTTCACACAGTACGTTCCTTCCCTTGCATCTGTACAAACCTCCCTTATTCTCTTTCTTGTTTCTTCTCCCGCACAGAACAGACACGATTGACTTGCGGCTCGGGAGCTGCAGCCTTTGTACATATAGCTGACAAGGTCGCACAGACACGGTCCGTCAAGACGTGACCAACAGCACGTGCGCCTACAACAACATGCCCGAGGAGGTGCAAATTCCAGACAATTACAACACGTTCGGAACAAACGCAGGCGTCAGCCCGTCCGATAACTTCTATGCCGCTGCGAATGAGACGTATGATCTCTTAACGCGCCAGACGATTCCAGTCGTCCTACTGGGACGATTTGTTGACCCAGATTCGAATCTGGTGCAGACCAGCGTCGAGTTCGTGTGTATGAACGCGAACAACACAGTAGAGGGGAGCCGCGTACCGGAGGAACAGACGCCGTGGGATAATGCTGGGGCTGATATCAGTGCTAGGATGGTGGGATGGGCGGCCAGTGTAATGACGGTGGTAATGCTGGTGTTGTAAGACTGCGATACATCGTGATGGCCTATCATGGATGTAATCGATGGTGGTAGAGCAGAGAGACTATCGTGGATGGAAGCAGGTGTAGACTCATTGCTGGGGGTTGAAGGTGGGAGGGGATGGTACGCAGCTGGTGGCTTCGTTCCGAGATCGGCAAAACTCCGGCGCTAATGCGTCACTTTAATTCGATCGAACGTACTACACCTTACGCATCTCCTCTTCCATAACATGGCAACGTTATCACATTGTCTTCATCGCGGCCACAACGCGCATGTACGATGTTGCGTTGATTTGAGCGATGATCGCGACCATTACGCGTTCGCGCAGCGCGTTCCTGCCCAGCCTCGGAATGTGAAATATATCGGTACCGCTTTCAACGCATGGCGAATTGCTGCGCTACCGATGTTTCGCGCGGCATGCTCGTCTTTGCGAGCTGTGCGAGTTTGAAAGGCCTGTTGACATTCCCTGGTAGCGAGAGGAAGCCATCCGCACCGTACGCTGATGACACAGTCACGACGTGCTGAAATTTCCTTCCTGGCCTCCAGTTTCTCATCCCTGTGCCGACCTGCTTTCGACACTTCGTCCGAAAATTCACAGAAGTCGAAAGCATACCTCATCACCTACACATTACCACCATCAAGATGGCGTCAACGCTTACCGCTACTCAACAAGCCCTAGGCATCGCGGAACTCCTCGAGAATATTTTGCAACACCTCAGCCCGACGGATGCTTTGTCGAACAAACAGATGGTGTCCAGTACCTTCTATAACTGCATCAACAGATCGTCCGTTCTCAGACAGATCTTCTTGCTTGACGCCAACCGAGTCGAGGAAGATGAAGCCGATAGCAAGCTCTACTTCCCCTTAAGCAAAATCTTTCCCGCGTATGGATCTCATGAGGGGCGCGGAGTCCTCATTCCTGGATACAAATACCGACCTTTTATCTTTCTGAATCTCGCAGCCATCAGATGTTTTGTTCCTGCGGACTCCTACTACGTAGATCAAGCTGCGGTGAGCAGAGCTTTTATTCCATCAGGCAAAGATCGGCTCCTAAGATTAAAACCCGGAAGTCGAAGTTGGGACTGGGAAGCGCCTATCACCCAAGTCCGTCCATCAGCCATACACCCATTCATCGCCCGCAATCTTTGGATTTCAAATGGTTTCTTTTGGACTGGCTTTGGCTCCCATGCAGTAGTCTTCATGGAGGACCCCTTGCCCATTTCGAAATTGGGTCTCTCCTCTACCAAAATCTCGCGAGTGATCGAGGAGATATTATTCCAGGTACAGAGAAGCCCTACCGCTAGTTGGATCAAATCTCAGCTCTCGAATCCCGCTTTCACCACTGTCAGCTTGGTTATGCACTGGGAGATCTCCAACCGCTCTACCCGGGTACACTTTGTCCATCGCTTCAAAAGCTTCCGTCGCGCTACCGGTGTACTGGTTGACGATCTTCTGATACTTCTCGCCAGGTACTTCTTCGAGCGGCTCGAATTTGCTGGCCGTTCTGACGCGCTCTTCGTCCCCCAACAAGATCTCGCCGCGGCTAACGAGCTCACGAGACTACTGGACCCTGTCGGTTACTTTTACTTGAGCCAAGCCTGAGCCAAGTCTGGATTAGTACGAGCTGTCTCACTGTACGCCTGGTTTGTCTCGCGAGTTGTCTTTCACTTTGCTGGCTCGTGCTCAGGCTTGGCAACCCACATAAACGATTGCGTCGCACGGCCAAATGACTTGCCTCTCAAAATACGACCCTTACGCGTCGATCGCCTTCGACCATCGGTAGGCTCACAACGATCGATATGGACGACAAAAACTCTCCTCCACTCGTACACGGCGATCCCGCCCGCGTCTTGGGCGTCACCGAACTCCTCGAGAATGTGCTCTGCAACCTAAGCCCGGGAGACATCCTCAAGAGCGCTCAAGCGGTCTCCAAGTTCTGGAGAGATTGTGTGCAGGGATCAACTGCAGTTAAGAAGAAGTGCTTCTTGGTTGCCGACAACATGAGCGAAGAGAAGACAGACCACCGACTGTTCCTGGGGGCGGGCCTTCCCGACTTGGGCAAACCTCTAGTTGCAGACTGGAGTCGATCGCGACATACTAGGAGTATCAGCCACATGACAGTGGTGACACCGGCTACTCTTCGCGCCTTCTTCGCAGACAACCCAATGTCTCGTCGCGGTCAATACAAACAGGCTATCCAAGATTACTTCGAGAGGCTGGACAACGACGAAGAGTTGATGCGCTTGACGACTAACATGGGCCGTGAAGAGCGCATGTACGATGGCAGCGATTACGACTCGCGTCCCTACGAGTCTCTACTTGACATGTCACGTGCGAATCCGCTACTTCGCCGATCGTGGAAAGGAAAAGGCTCAGTTGTCTTCACCGGCTACGGAAAACACCTCATCTTCGCTCTTGGCGACAACTACCCTGAGGCCTGCGACTACTTCACACATATTCGAACATTCCTCGAGACTGTCGTCCATACTAGGAGCGCCGACCAGTCGAAACAAACCTGGAATACTGTCCAAATCTGCTCACCTGCCGTCACCAAGCTCACTGTTGCTATCTGGTTACCTGGAGGCCCGGACATGGCTCAAAGCTTTCTCAATTCGTCCGGTGTCACAATGCTCGACTTTGCACATATGTTCATCATAGCGGTACGAATGGCTCTACAAAGCTACGATTCAGTTGATGTGGAGCACTGGCTTGGCAACATCCATCGACACAAGCGAGGTGGCGCAACTTGGAAGAGGTCGATGCGATTATACAAGAAGGAGAGGGACCTCATCGAGAAGTTGGTGGATCAACTGGAGAAAGGCAGATGGTATCCCTGATCGCCATGGTTCTCGTCTGCCAAGTCAGTTCTCCAAAGTCATGATGTCTAGGTCTCAAAGACTTCCTGTTACATGGCCTGTGGTAATTGGGCAAGACTGATATGAGCATGCACGTCATTGTAGATAGTCAAGTGTCTCAAAGCATGTATACCTAATAAGACATTGTATGTTGCAACGACCTGCTTGTGCGTATTGCTATAGTCGTGTGGTGCGTTCCAGCTTTCCTCGATTTCGCATCGTGCCTACGTGAATCACAGCCATTTGCAACATCCGGCAAGCTATCAACCCCATGTACCCTATGCATCAACCCTACATAGTCGTCCCTGCTGAGTAGGGAGTCCTCCCGTCCCTTCAACGAACCAACTCTCGCTACCCACACCCGTAACCGCATAGAACAACCCCCAAGGATCTCTTTCCTTCTTGATCTTCAGCAGCCTATCGTAGTTATCACCATACATACTATACTGAAAGTTCGGCTCCGCAACATCCGCCTCATTCATGTACGCACCACTAAGCGGCGTCGCATCTCTCAGCTTCTGCACGTAGGAATTGAGGCGTGCATGCGACGACTTCCAGAGCTCATCGGAGAGGCTAGCATCGTACTGCCGACTATCGAAGCCGGTCATGTGCATGACTGCGTTGCGCAGGTGCGGCGAGACCGCAGAGTCGGAGCCAGGATAGCCGGCTGTTTCGTATGTTGGTGCGTAGTCGACGGAGTGGAAGCTGTAACCCCCGTCTTCCACGAATGAGCGTATTGCTGCCATGGTGGTATTGAATGTCTGGGAGGTTGGGTCTGCGAGATTGGATCGGGGAACAAGCCGGCTCACAAGACGGCTGTTACTAGTACCACCGCTTGGGCCGCCGGGCTGGGTACCGAACTTTGCATATGTGCTCCAAAACTTTGGCTCGGGGTTGACTAGTGGAATGCCAATATCGTTGAGATCTTTGATGAGCGGCGCCATGAGCTTTCTCATCTCTTCGACGGTGATGCCCGGCTTGGTGATTTGATTTGAGAGGGTAAAGGTACTAGAGGCCTTGGTGATGTAATTTGACATGATGCCTTTGGCATCATTGATGCGTAGGTTGTGCGAGAAATAGACCTTCATACCTTTCCAAAAGGTTTCATTGGATACGCGAACGGTGGTCTTGTCGTTACTGGACACTGGGCCGGTCTGGAATGTAAAGTCACTTCGTGCGACCGTCGTAGGCGGATAAGCTTTTACGATGGCAGATGTAACTATACCGAAGTTTCCTTTGCTATCGGTCAGTATCAAAAATAGTTGTGATAGTACGACGGAAGCTTACCGGGTCCACCACCTCTAATAGCGAAGAACAGGTCCGCATTCTCCGTCGGATCTGCATGCACAAACTTGCCATCTGCAGCGACAACCTCTAGAGCAAGCACCTGATCAGCCATGAGGCCGTACTTCGACGTGATGTACGAAAATCCTCCGCCTTGCATGTAACCGCCATAAGCTCCAACAGTAGAAGACCCAGGAGCTAGAAGCGTGATATCGTGTGCACTCATGGCGTTATAGACTTCGTGTTGTTCGAGCGCCGCTCCAACTCGGGCTGCTTGACCATCGTACTGACCAACTTTGTAAGTCGGTAAGTAATCGAATGCTTTCATGCGATGCACCCAAACTTGAAGTGCGCCCCCGCCGGTGTTTCGGCCGAGGAAGTCATGGCCGGTATTTCTACAATGGTCAGTTTGGGACTGGTATCTTTCCTGAGCACGTACTTGATCGTCAACCGGACATTGTTGTTCCTGGCAAAGTTGACTGCGAGCTGCACGTCTTTGACTGTAGTAGCATTGACGACAAATGCAGGAAAGCTGACGAGTTTGCAGCCAGACAGCGGAGGCGTGGCGCTGGCTGCAGGTACGGGGCATGGGTTATGTAAAGTCCACTGTCCAAACGGTACCAGTGGGTCTTCCTTGCTAGATGAGACAAGTTAGCTTTCAACTGAGGGTAAGGTTTGCAGGTTCTTACGCGAAGAGAGCATCGCTTTGACGTCGCCTGACATTTGAACACTTTGCGGTATCCTTGTACTCGCCCTCATAACAGGCAGCAGCAGGTGGAATACCCTTGAACAATGTGCCTCCAAGACTGATGTTCAAGGCACTCCATTGCGTCGATGATGGCCAACCGTCGTAGCCTGGATAGCTCTTGCAAGAAGGTATGCTGCTTGGGTTCGCTTTACCAAAAGCCAAATCAGGATTGTTCCCCACATCCGAGTCCGTCAGCTGCACGCTCTCGTATGGGAAGTTGTACGCATAGGCAGCTTGCGCCGCAAGAAGGCTTGAAAGAAGCGAGGACCCGAAGACCATTTTGGAAAGTGCGAATACGGAATTGAGATTAACAATGTCCTAAAGCTTCGAGGACGAAGCTTGATCTCTTGCAGGTTATCATGCCGGCGCCTTATACAAGCTTCTAGTAACAGCATCGGCGACACCCCTCTTCTCCAACTCCCATGATATGCCCCACATACATCCAGACTGGTGTTAGCCTGAGGCTTGGGGTGGTGCGAAGACTGTATCTCCATCTCTTGACTCGTACTGCCTCATATGATGTGGCCCCGTTCTCGTCTTGACCTTCCGATACGGGCCGGCCCAGACATATTGCCATATCGGGCGCGCAGTCAGCATGCAGCCATGTAGTTTTACCCGGTCTGGTTTCGCTGTGCATCTCGTGTGATCAATACGTCGCGCATATCGCGAAGGTTGTGAGGCTTTTGTGGCGTCCGTAATCATACAGTGGTTCCGACATCATGGTAAACGGTCGATGCTGAGTGCTGCGAGGCTACATACTGAGTCTTCCTGTTGGTCGTAACAAACGAATCAGAATGAACTAAACCTGCGATAAGAGCCTTTGAACGCGTGAAAGCTGACTTCGGGGTCTCCCCACACTGGGCGTACAGAATCGCCTTGTGGGACACATCATGCAAATGGATGTCGATATGGAAGCGGGAATGATGGCAGCATGTTCGAAAGTGATGCAGCACCCATTTTCTGATGAGATTCACGCTGGTCGTGATGCGAAGACGAAGGACCGCGTCGAAATGTCGGAGGCCTCTTGCAATTGCCCCTGTGATAACGACGCTAGCCCCTTTGGGTGTTGACCAAGCCCCCACCTGTTCCGCATCCCAAAACGGTCTCATCGTCACCCATCGCATCGACATCCGACATATCAAATGGCTTATCGTCTTCCCGTCTTGACAGAGATACGCGATTGATGCGCACGTCAAACCCAGGCAAAAAGACTCTTAGATTGAGTCCGGCTACAGCTTATCGCCAAGTTTCGCCATTGTCTGCTGAACATGTTCATCAATCTACAGAACGGCGCAATCCTCGGTATCGATCTGCAAGCACTGCTGATCTGCAAGCACTGCTCAGTCCTTGCCTGCCCTGTCATCTAGCTCAGTAGCATCCTCCATGTACTTCACCGAGTGCTTTCGCTGCTCCTCCTTCATACCCGCCTCGACATCCTGGCGACGCTGATCAGCCGACACGTCACCGAACAGGATGTCAATCTCCTCAAGTGTCTTTCCTTTCGTCTCTTTGATGAAAAATGTAGCAAAGATGCCCATGGAAAGACAAAAGATGCCGAACATGAGGAATGTTTTCCACCTGCAAAGGACGATGTCAGTGCATGTCTTGTATGCAGTTTGTAGAGTCATTGCCTTACCCGATGGAGTTGATTGCAGCGGGTGTAATCTTCGTAATGACGAAATTGAAGAGCCATTGTGTTGCTGCTCCCATTCCCA